TTTGATATGGGATTTAAATGACAGGTCCTGATCGAAAACAACACCATGATTTTTTTACTTTATTATCTGAAAGCAAAAAAATAGCGAAACCCAAAAAACATCTGAAAGAAGCGCACATTCTCCAGCTGGGCTGACATCTGAGAGGGCCCTGTCACACCTTCCCAATTTAGCCAGCGTATGCCCAGAATCTCCTAAAACGCTGGCATACGCTGAACTTGCTTTTATTTTTTTCAATTTTGGGTGTATACATAGCATATTCATAATGAGTCCAGAACTTATGTCCAACAACAATTCAATTTTTCAATTCAATTCAAATTATGTATATAGCGCCAATTCACATCACATGTCATCTCAAGGCACTTTACAGTTCACCAGATCATCCAGTCAAACTGATTCAAAGTTTTCTATCTAAGCAAAACCAGTTGATTACATCGATTCATTGACTTGAATGCAATCCCTGCTTTTATCCAGTTCAACAGCCTAACTTATGCATAATGCACAGCAGTGTGATGCCCATGACATGATGCAGAAGCACCATTTGATGGGCATTAAGAAGCATCAGTTAAAGCTGCTCCCCTCAGGAGCCTGGATGTCGACGTGTTCCAGCATACTTCAGCGTGCTCATAACTTATTCAACGTATGCCAGTGTTTTTGCCAGATATACACTGGTCTAAATCGTCAAGGTGTGACAGAGACTTGACAAAATAACTGTTAACAGCTTAGCTCGTCCAGTGTAGGCCTAAAAGCTAACTAGCCTTCTTTGCTAAAAAGGACAAATCTGCCAAAATAAAACTCACTGCTATAATGAATCAACTCACCTGCCCAACAGATAGCCTGAAACCTTTGAAGCCCCGCCCCCTCATCAATGGCCTCTGTCTAGTAAAAGCTACGCTGATGTAGACTCTTGTTTTCTCCTGGTTACTACTTCCCCATCCCTATTTTATTACAAAAAAAAAAAAAAGTAGATTGATCGGTCACCATTGTTTGTTTAAAAATCTTCCATCAACAATACTTCATAAACAGGTAAAACATCAGGCTGATGCCTTCTGGCTACCATAATCAAAGATGGCGTCATCCTTTCGATGCATCGCCACCATGTTTAAACAGCTCATTTTAAATGAACGTCGTTTCTGATGGGATGTTTTTAGAGTTCTACCAGAAAATTAATTTCTGAAAGAATTATATTTTAATAAAAAGCCAGATAATTTACCAAAAGCAAAGCTTTAAACAACTGTGTTTAAAGCGTCATGGCTGCCATGACAGGATCACAGCTTTTCTGTGAACATGGCGCTGGTGTCGATGGTCGGCATAGAGACGCTCCTCAGTCCTCAGATGGTTTTATTTCTGGATCTTGTTTTGTTTCAGCCTCCTTCAGGCGTCACGTCTCCTTCCAAAGTCAAGAGGAACTCTGCTCTGATCGAGAAGCTCCAGGTCAGTCCTGCTGCCCCCTGTTGCTGTAACGCTGGCATTGCACTCTGACATCACTGTGACATCACTCTCTTTTTGTGCTCAGGCCAACCTGACTCTGGGCTCCCCCACTGCGGTGCCTCTGAAGAGCCCATGTAGAAAGCTACCTCCCGGCTTCACCCTGCCCTCGCCCGGCTCTGCCCCTCCGCTTTCTATAGTGACGCCCACAAGCCCCGCCCCCATCTCTCCGTCAACAGAAATTCCCACCTCCTTTGAAGCCCCTCCCTCTGCTGGAGAAGGAAACATCCTGCCAAGCATCAACAAGGTGAGAAAAATCTGAGGAGCTTCCTCTGACATCACTGTGACCTCATCTGTGACCTCACCTGTGTGTCTGTCCCCTGATTGGTCCGTCTCCAGGGCAGAGCCAGACTCTCCATCCGGCGCCGTCCTCCATCCCGTCGTCACCGCAAGTCCAGCAGTGGAGACGATATGGGTGTTGGACAGGATGCAGCAGAAACACACCTGAGCTCCAGAGACGAGGGGGAGGAGAAGACCGCTGCCGAAGAGGGGGGCGAGGAGGACGAGGGTGGAGAGGTGTTTAAGAAGGAAGGTCCAACAGAACCTTCGGCACCACAGGAGCCAAAAGAAGCTCAAGAGATGAAGAGCAACACAGATGTGAAGGAGGGAGAGGAGGAGAAGAAGGAGGAGGAGAGAGGTCAATCTTCATCACTGCAGGGGGAGGAAGAGGAGGAGAAGAAGGAGGAGGAGAGAGGTCCATCTTCATCACAGCAGGGGGAGGAAGAGGAGGAGAAGAAGGAGGAGGAGAGAGGTCCATCTTCATCACAGCAGGGGGAGGAAGAGGAGGAGAAGAAGGAGGAGGAGAGAGGTCAATCTTCATCACTGCAGGGGGAGGAAGAGGAGGAGAAGAAGGAGGAGGAGAGAGGTCCATCTTCATCACAGCAGGGGGAGGAAGAGGAGGAGAAGAAGGAGGAAGAGAAACAACAGGAAAGCCCCAGCAATGAAAAAAGGAGAAAAGAGGAAGAGGAGGAGAACGAGGTCTGTCTTCTTCTTCTTCTTCTGTGATTCTAACTTAAACTGAACATGAAGCAAGACTGGAGAAGAATGGCTCACAGTTCAGACCTGAGAGCGGCTAAAAACATTTGGCTACTTCCGATGACTTTAGAAATCCATTCAATCGAACCAGGTACTTGCAGCCTTCTCAGTGCAAAGCGCACTGCTCTAACCAAATGCCCGACCGAGTGTTTAGAAACTTTAAATCTCTTATCACTGACTTCAAACAAAAGCTGTTTCTTCTGACCGTCTCCTGGCCTAAAAACGCTCATATCTACATCACAGAAATAAATGAAAAGAGAAAAATAAACTGAAACTGTGATGATATAAAATGATTCTGTTAGAAAAAAAAGTTTTACTGGTTCAGAACCTTCATTTCAGACTGAGCTGCATCACTTCAGAAAAATAAACCTCATATATGCAGAATTTAGCAGAATAAACGACCCCCCCCCCCACTAGGCCTCAGACCCTGGCTGGTCCACAGTGGATGGTTAGTTCACGTCTGCAGCGACGTTGATCACTGCCTGAGATGATTTACTAGAATCTCCTTTAGTTACAGAATCTAAGATGGTGGTATTAGTCCAATAATCTGAATGATATTAGTTCATCTTCTGTTTCTCCAACAGAGTTCGTCCCGATGAGGAATCAGACTTTTGGCCAAGTCAGAGCGAGGTCACCGTGACTTTGAGCCCTTGGGGTGCAGAGAGGGAGAAGCCTGCTGAAGGAAGATGGCTGCCGACGCCGGAGAGCAGAGACTCAGACAGGAAACATTTCCTGAAGTTCAGCTTTGAACGAAGCCTCAGAAGCAGCTGATGTGTTTTTCCTAACCTAAGCTTTTCCAGACCGCGGCGCTGCATTTGATCCTTTTATAAGAAGAGCGTGTGAAATCTGTCTTTTTGTAATGTCTTCCTGCTGGTTGGTGCCTATGATTTATAACAATCAGAGACTTTATCAGTGTTCAGAGCTGTGAAAGCATATTCTAGGCATTTTTTTTCTGAAATATTGAATAAAATTACTTTTTACAAATACCACCTGGAGCTTTTGTTGATCTTAATGCCCAAAACACTGTGGCGGGTTGCCATAGTGATAATGTCTAAAGAGCAGAACTGAAGATTAACCCTTTATAGCACACTCAAAATGTCAAGCCACCAGTGTTATTGGAATCCAGAAAAATACTTTATATGAACTTTGTGCTATTCACATTCACATTCAAAAAATATGGATATTTTGATGGCAAAAATGAATTTCAATTTAATAACAAGAAATGCCAACTTGCCCAAATATATTAAGAAAAATAACAAAAGTGCTTCTATAAGAAATTCATGAAAAACCCTCTAAAGCAGGCACCCCCAAAGTTAGTCGAGGGTCCCTGTCCTGCCGGTTTTAGAGTTTTCTCTGCTTTAGCACAGCTGATTCTGATGATTGCAGTTCAGCAAAAGCCTGTTAATCAACTATCAATGTAAATCAGCTGTGCTGATCAGACGTATCAGACGTTCGGTTAAATCAGTGAGTTAATGACTTAAAAAGAGCTAGAAATTGCAGGTAACCATATAATATTGATTTGGTTCCATAGACTTTCAGCTTAAGGCCCTTTTTTTTGCTTGGTTTGGATAAAAGAAAGATGATCGCAAAGAAAACAAAGGAGTCAGAAGCTATGAAGAACAGAAGAAGCCCCCAACTGAGAAATGAGGATGGAGAGGAAATCACCTGGATAAATGCACATTTCTTAGTTCATTTCATCAGCTGAGAAATGAGTTAAATACTTCAACGTAAATATTTATATTAACCTCTCAAAACAACTAATAACTCATCAACTTAATCATTGTTGGAAAGCTTAGATTCTCCACGATTCAACCACCAAGTTCATTTTATGGACACAGCGCAATTAACACAGATATAGCAGTATGTCAAAATGTAAACAAACAAAGCAGCCACAACAAGTAAGCATATTTTTATTACTGCTGTTAAAAAAAAAAACTATTATTTTCGAGAATAAAAGAAAACAACTTTGAGTTATGTTTGAACTGATGCAGCTTGGGCTGTGTTTTACTCAACAAATTTTCATGTATATATTCAGAAACTAGAAGGCGTTAGCTTTCAAATACTTTATCACAGTTCCTCAGTTATTTGCTTTTCCATTCGGGTATGCAAGATGGGCAAGAATTTCCCAAAATGAGGTGGATGTTAGGTTAAAGTTATACCAGGAGGAACCCAGTTACTGGCTTTAAAAAGAACCAACTACTAAATGTAACTAGAATGTTAACCGGATATCTTCAGTATGACAAAACTAGTTAGACTGAGAATAATTCAGTAAAAAAAGAAGGAGGAAAAAATAGCAGAGATGATTAAGACTAAATGCATGAATGTTTGTTTTCTCCACTTTCTAACTGAATAGTTTCGGGGACGTTTCTGTCAACACTTCCTTCTCAGGGGTCAACGGAAGTTCCAGGTCCTGAGTATTAATGGACATGGTTCTGAAGAAAGAACCAGCACAGGACCTCCTCTGTCGACCTGTTAAATCCAACCTTCCACCGGCGCTGCTGTCATTTTCTACGCTGCCTTCTTCCAATCTGCTCTGATTCTGATTTTTATTAAATTTGTAAATGAAGCAACACTGAAAAGTAATCTTTTAAAGTGTGTAAAATTCAAGAGAACATGCTTCCTCTGATTCCAGTCTTTGATTCTCAGAGCGCTAAAATCTTTTTCTTTTTATCATTGGTATATTTTTTAACGGGAACCAGTTATGGTTTAAAGATGGACAGCTGGAGACAGAGAGCCTGAATATATGACACTTTCAATGGGTTATTTGTTTATTTGCTGGTTTAAATTGTGTTGGTATTTAAATCAGGAGTGTTGCATTGTAGAAAGACTCAATGCAAACCAAAGTCTAAGGAAAAAAATAACCACAAAACAACCTGAACCAGAAATCAGTCTTTTTAACCTCTGAGCTAAAAATAACAACCAGAGGATTTCCCATAGCTGGCACTTCTCCACTAGGCTGCGGAGGCGGTAATCTGCTGGGGACTCCTTCTTGGAAAAGGAGGATTTGGATGGAGAAGTGCTGGCTGCCGCTCCCAGAGCTTAAATCTGATTCCTGTAAGCTGTTTGATCCTCAGATTGAGGCACATCACTGCAGCCCGAAATAAAACGCATCAGCAGGAGGAGTGGAAAGTCAAGCTTCTCTGCCAGAAAATCTCAGATAGACTTGCAACACCTTCCATGATGGACCTTTGCTGATGAGATGCGAAAAGGTCAGAGTCTGCTAACAGGACACACCTGGACGCCACACTACACGCCGCTGCAAGAACCGGCCAATCAGAGGCCAGTTTGCAGAGCTGAGCAGAAAAAGTGAAAGGACCATTAAAGCCAGGCAGTGGGAGGTAAATAACTAAAGCGGGAAATGAGTTGGTTGCACTGTTACAGAAGTAACAGTAAAATAAAAACACATAGAAATAATATAAAAAGAAAAATAACTTGATCTGAAAAAAGTCAATTACTAAAAATTACAAAAAGATACATCATATGATGTA